TTTCTCTTGAAAACCCCCTGCTTTCCTTTAGCATCGGTTTCATGTTGCCTGGATGCTCTGTCATCTTGCTTTATCCTTTTAGGGAGCATGACTACCAGTAGTTTCCTAACAAAGGATGCATGCGTCTTTGCATGTCTGAAAAATGTCATTGTTCTCTCCTCATGGTCATGACCAAGTACTTTATACCATTTCCCCTGACAGCTGTGTCTTCTGTGTCTTAGAGTTCATACATTTTTTTCCTTTTTTTTTTTTTTGGCAGTGTTGGAGTTTGAACTCAGGGCTTTGCACTTGCTAGGCAGGTGTTCTACCATTTGATTCACACCCTAGCTCTTTTTGCTCTAGTTATTTTTCAAATAGGGTCTCAAGTTTTTATGTAGGCTGTCCTTGAACTGAGACCCTCCCAACATTTGCCTCCTGAGTAGCTGGGTCTATAGGCATGAACCACTGCACCTGACTTTGATTCATACTTTGGTTATAAAATTCTAGATTGGAAATAATTTTCCCTTAGGTGACTTTTGGTACTTTTTATTTTGAAATATTTTAGACTTCTAGAAAAGCAACAAAAATAGTGCAGAGTTCTATTTAATGCCTTTATCCAGCTTCCTTTCATCTTGTCATCTCACATAGCCCTAAGTGCAATTGTCAAAACCAGGAAACTAACTTTAGTATACTACTATTTACTGAACTACAGACTAGATTTCATCAGTGTTTCTAGTAATGTTGTTTCATTTTTCCAGGATCCTATTTATTTGTTGAGTCTTCTTAGTCTCCTCCAATCCAGGACAGGTCTTCAGTTATTCTTTGTCTTTAATGACCTTGACAATTTTGAAGAACACTGGTACTTATTCTGTGTTAGGATTTGTTTGTTGTTTTCCCCATAGCTACAGTGAGTTATGGATTTTTGCAAGAATACCACAGAGGTAATGTGCCCTTGTCAGTGTATCGTATGAGGGCTGCACGATATCAGTATGAATTATGATGCTAACCTTGGTCATGTGGCTACAGTGCTTTCTGCATTTCTCCAGACTGTAAAGTTACTATTTTTCTTTCTGCAATTAATAATTATAATTATTATTATAATTTGATTGTTGGACATACTTTTAAACTGTCTAAATATCCTGTTTATGCTCAAACTCTCCCCAAATAATCTTAGCATTGTTGATGCATCCTGCCTGCAACAATTACTACTGTAAAGTTCTAACAGTGGTTTTCTATTTCCCTCCTTTCTTTTGATTGACTCATTCAATTATTTAGTCATTCATTGATTGACTTATAGCAGCATTGACTCATTGATGCTTGTTGTATTGTATGAGTTATAGTATAATTTTATTGCTCAAATTGTCCTTAGAATTTCCATTACCTTTTAGGTTTCAGTGTTGTTGCTATTAAGAAATTTAATAACATTTGTTTTTCAATCTATTTTTCCAAAATTTCTTTGTGTTTACATTTTTCCACAAGAAAATACAAGTAGGAAAAGGAGGAAGGTACCAAGAAGCTAATAGAAAGCTACATGACCTTGGCTGGTGAGCCAGCTGTTTCACTGGGGGAACTTCAAATGTCATGGTCGTCATTCTGCTGGTCAGAATTCCTGGAGGTTCACTCCCAGTCCCCACCTGGAGTGTATAGGCCACATGCCACACGTGGTAGCTGAGTGGAAAGGGCTCCGAGCAGCTTTTCCAGTCATGTCATGAACGTTCCTCAGTTCTGTTCATGGTGTGTCACCCATCCTTAGCTGGGCAAGGCCTCCAGAGAAGAAACAAAGCAGAGGGGCAGTTGCCTATAAAATGGCAGGTGAAGAGAACTGAGGGTCTCTCTTTATATTGACTTTCCTCCAGTTCTGTTTTCAATCCCACTTTGCCACTCCTTGACCATCCAAGTCCCGAGATGTGGTGCCTAAATTCTGCACAGAGCACGTTCTCTAGAACCACACACCCACAGAGGTTCAAATGCTGCTGAGTGACCTGGAGTGATGTAATGAATCTCTGTAGAAACTTCTAGAGTTCGGGGACATTAGATAAGTCAATACACATTCAACTCTCAAACCAGTGTGTAGCACAGAGAAATGTTACACCACACACAGACACAACCCTCACCCCACCCCAGCACACATGGGTTTCCGCTTTCTCTGGTCTTGGAGCTCACTTTCCATCTTCCGTAAATTTATTGCCATTTGCAAATCTGCTACTCTCTCTCTCTCTCTCTCCTGCTCTTTGCTCTTAGGAATGTGTCTCTTTTCTTTTTCAATTCCATGATTGTGTCTCTGGTGAGGTTTGGGAAGAGAGTACATTTAAATGTATGTATCTATCTCACAACATTAAGACACACGTCTCAGGTCTTTCTTTCTTTGTCTCTAAGGGCCCCCTTAGGAGGTATATTCACACACTCTAGCCTGTCTTCCTGACAGAGCCCAGAGTGAATGTCCACACTCCTGAGTCATGTGTGGACCCAGCTCCTGGTGTCACCTACACACTTCCTGCCAAGTGCCCTCATGGGCCCACTGAGCAACTTGCCAGACCTGCTGAGTCATCCTGCCCTGAGAAGAAGGAAGGGCCTGGGTCACAGTGACACTTGTGTAACAGCCTCGTGACCAGACTGTGGCCAAACAAAACAACCACAGGCTTCTCCCACCGCTCAGACTCTGACCTGGGATCATCAGATTGGCCTGGGGGAGGTGATCCTATCTTTAGTAGTGTGGGAGGGGACCATTGCACCACTGCCACCAACTCACTCCAGGAGTTTGCACACTGGTTTAAAGGACCACAGATCATAATGAAGCAGGATGGATGGATGGATAGATAGGTAGATAGATGAGACAGGGAAATTAAAATTAATAAATATTAAAAGGGCCAGACTCAGCATAGAACTAAGAAGTAAAAAACTGAAAAACAAACAGCAGCAAGCTCCCCTCCCATCACCTCCTTTTAAATGTTCAGTCAGGAGGATAGGGAGACAGGGAGGGGCTGTCTGCAACTGCCTTTCTCTTGGGTTAAACTGCAGGGCATCTTGAAGGGACAGAAAGAAAATGAGAGGCATGTCTGGCAAAAGGAAGTCCCACAGGTCACCTATTGTCCTTGTGTTTTGGGTGGGTTAAATCTCACTTCCATGTTTTAGAATCATAAACAGTACTCATCTGAACCACCCCACAACTATGACAAGGATTAGGATGTATTTCCCCAGCTCACAAAGTATAAAGACCACAAATAAGAGCCACCCATCTTTTGATTTTTACTCCCATTTTCTGCATGGGGAGCAGAAAATGTTTTTCCCTTTCTTCCCATTTCTCTCTACTTTGTCTTGCTATACTAAAATAAATCCTTGCTAAAACTTTCACCTTGTGAAACTCTTCTTTTTGTGAGACACCTTGAAATGCTTTTCACATGTGCATCTCAAGTTCCTAATTTTATGTGGAAATTGGGAAACTGGAGGAATATCCCCCTCACTCCTCATCTTGTCACAAGACAAGTCAAAACTGCCTCCCAGGCAGCAGTGCCTTTCTCCTGCTGCCTCACCATGCTGAAATGACAAAGTGGACCACACCTAAGATGGGGACAGTTTAGTAATTAGGCATACCTTTTTTGCCCCCTGCCCCAGTTCTTCCTCTATTTAAACTTAGGCTCATGTCCCTACCCCAACGATGGGCTGCAATGCTTACTCTCCCTCTTTCCTCAGCATGCCTGTGCCATGTAATATATATCCTTTCTCTGTCCTTTGGTTACCACTACTTATCTCTTTTTTTGGCATATTGGGATGGACCTGATATGTGGAACCTTGAAGTTGGGCCTGTGGTCAGAACTCCAGTTACAGAAGCTGCTCTGGTTGGTTGTCCTTGGACACCAGCCCTCCCTACTGAATTCTCATAGACTTTGTGCCATGAGTGATGGATGAGATAGGATAGATAGAGGAGGAGACAGGGCAATTATATCATTTTAATAGATATTAAAAGACATTTATTTTTAATAAAATATTAAAAGACTCAGACATTGAAACTGGAAAGTAAAGACTAAAAAGCCAGAACAACTAGTCACCCCTCCCATCTCCTTTTAGATGTTTAAGATACAAGAGCAGGGCTGTCTGCTTTCCAGGGCTGTCTGCATCCTTTTTGCTCTTGAAGATGTGGACAAGCTCCAAGGCTCCTTGGATGGTGGAAGAACAAAAAGGATGAAAGACATGTCTGGCAAATGGAAATCCTAAAGCACACCCTCTGTCCCTGGAATTTGAGTAGGCCTGGATGATGTCTCCCTGTTTAACACCCATCTTAGCCACCTAGATACAATACTGCAATGACCACATATATCCCTCCAGCTTAGAAAGTATAAGATTAAGAGATGAGGACCACCACTGTGAGTTCTCACTCCCATTTCCTGCATGGGGTTCTTCCCTTTTCCCCATTTTTATCCTGTCACACTAAATTCATTTCCTAATAAACTTTATTATTATTTTTATTACATTTTCTCATCTTGCCTGAATTCTTCTCTTGCCCGACACAAGAACTGAGGTATACAACAGCACTAAACTTTCCAGTAACATGCCTCATCTTTCCTTAACCCTTAACCTCCCACCCCACCCCCCCATTCCCCCATTCTCCCAGTCCCCATTCACCCTACCCCCATCTTCCCTGATTCCTGCCCTGGGAGGCCAAGCTCTAGTGGAGACACTGGGCCAAAAGAGGGGGTCGTGGAGGATAAACCAGCATAGTAGTTTCCCAGCCTAAAGGGGCACTCCTTGCCAGCCAGTTCTATGGCTCCCCAGTCTGTTCTTGGCCCATTCACCAGCCTAAGGAAGGTGGTAGGACCCCACAGAGGTCCTGGCTGTGCAAGAAATGACACCTGTCTGGCCCACATTCATGAGGGCCTTAGGCAAAGTGAAATTAAAATACCTACGAATTAGCATAAATGCATGTGCAAAGTGCTCCATGTTGTATGAAAAGGCCTTGTCAAACAAACCTGTGGCTCTCCCTAATGCACTAATGCATTAGGTGGGTTTTTTCCCACCACTTGTCCTTTTTTTTTTTTTTTTTTGAGAGTTCCACTTGTCTTTAAGATAAATCAAAGTCCCTTGAAACAAAAGCTCTCTCTTGTTTTCCTCACCTTCCTTCAGTCCACCTGGCAGGGACCACCACAGCTTTCTGAGGTAACTTCCCCTCACCTTTAATAAACTTTGTTATCACTTTACTACAGCAACATGTCCTGCCTGGATTCTTTCCACACAGAAAATCTTCTGACCAGAGTTTCTAGAGTCCACCCATCTGATAACAGAAGGATGGAGACCAAAGGCTAAAGGTCCAGCATTGTTCTTGGACTCTGCTCTCCCACCCCATCCCACCTCTTTTACTAACCCTATCATCCTCTTTCCTCCAAAACAAGTTGGGTTCTAGAGAGTTCCAAGGGTAAGGGAAGGGATCTGCAAGAAAAGCCTGGGCCCCCAGAGTCTATGTTTCATTTCCTTTTTTTTTTTATTTTTATTTTGGTGGTATGGGATTTGAACTCACTGCCTCATGTTTGATAGGCAGGCGCTCTACCATTTGAGCCATTCTGCCAGCTTCATTTTCATTTTTAACTTGTTTTAGTGGGACTTAATATTGGTCCCTGGGTCAATGCTAGAAGTTCAGGAGCAAGGACTTGCTTTGTATCTCCTTTCTCCATTTGTCTCTTGTACATAGCTGGGTTAATTGCACATAGTATGTTCTCAAGAAATGCAGGTTGGCAAAATGAATCTATTATCTCACTTAATTCTCATAAGAACCTGTCAGTTACCTCCTACAATCATTCCCATTCTGCAAATAAGGCAGCCAGAGCTTAGGTGGGTTAAATAATCTGTCCAAGGGTATCAGTTGATGAAGGGCAGAGCTGGTGTTCTACTCAATTCTGATGGACTACAAGCCAGACTCTGAGCCAACACACTCACATGCAATCAAGCACCGAGTGAGCAGAGGATAAGGTTGCATATTCCTCTCGGAGCTGATCTGCTGGTGAAAGGATTTTCATAACCTTGAAAGTCTTTATATACATTTCTTTACATTCTTTATATTTTCCCTCCAGGTTAAGCTACACTTTACCTCACATGAAGCTGAAATTTGTAGAATTCTAAGAAAAGATAAAATAAAAATTGCAAAATGACATGATGTCATGTTAATGAGAGAGCATTTATAATCATGATATTTCCTTTTTATTTGAAGAATTGGAAGTGCTTTTATGAGAATTAATTTAGGTTTGCAATTTCATGCTTGGAGTAGCCTGCAAAAATATCCATGCCCCACCCCCCTGTGTATGGAGAGGAGGGAGGAAGTCAGAGGATTTGTTATCAGGATTTAGCTCAGGATATGAGACAGAGGGAGAATTGTAAATACACATAATTTGGAGCTGCATAGCCAAATTTCCTTGGGGTGAACCTGTCAGAGGTGTGGAAATCAAGACACTGAGGTGAAAATAAATACTCCTTTTTGTCCTTTCTTAAAATTGTTTTGTTTTTCCTGAGCTGCTGCTTTTATGAGCTGTGCAAGAAGAAAATTCGAGGTCAGCCTTCACTGCGCTGTGAAATCCTTCCCTGGCTTCAGGGGCAGCTGTCACGGGGCACTCGTGATCTTGCTGGTCATGCTGACCACATGCTCATCCTTCCTAATTAAGTGCCCTCCAAAAACCACCTCATTTTCCTTTGTTCACTGGGATACATTTGGGCCGAGTACCCTTTATTTCCCCCATACTTTTCCTGATTAGGAAAATGGTGTAACTAAAAGCTCACAGAAGCGAGCGATGGGGCCAGGAGGAAAGTATAATGAAAACAAATCTCCTGTCAATCCAGCAGGCGTCTCCACAAAGGAGACAGAGAAAGTTGTTTTGTTACTGAGTAGACATGCAACCATCGTAAACCTCCCATCTCCCTGAGAGACTGCAATGACAGACGGCACACAGTGACATTAGTCCCGAAGCAAGAGGGCCTGACGAAACCATTTGTCACACACAGTTCACCCTAGCCTCACCTGGTAAATGAGGTCACCATCCATGTGAGCTAATTGGCTTCACCTAAAGAAAAACAAACGTCTGCTGTCTTTAGGATGAGGGTAGGAGGGGAAGAGGGTGGTTTTGCAGCTTAAAGCAAGGTTAGGCTTCTGCCTTCTCACTAAAGCTGGGAGACCCCATCTGCCTGACTTGATGATTTCATCGTGGTCCTTGAAAAACACATCCCTGAGTCCCAAAGATTTTATTATTTATTTAGCTTTTAAAACCATTTATATAAATCTCAAAGAGCCAGAGGAAAGAACTTAAAGTTACAAGTCTCCTAAACTAAATGTGGAAGTGAAGTCTCTTATTTTTAACAGGGAGAATTCTCTCTCTCTCTCTCTCTCTCTCTCTCTCTCTCTCTAAAGCATGCAGGCCAAGCTTCCTGGAGAGGTGGGATCTGAGGGTTCTTAAATAACGTGTAGGATTTGAACAGAAGGTACAGATAGGAAAGGAAGCTAAGCCTCCAAAAGAGCAAGCATAATATGAGACTTCCTAAAGTTGTGTGCCTCAGAGGACTGCTCCCACTGCCATGGGCATATGAGAACTGCCCGTTGGAAATGGAAGCTTGACAGGCCAGAGTACATGCACAGGGGACATCAGAAATCCCAGGAGGCCACACAGGGACATGCCCTGTGGGATTCCGATGATCACTGGAGGCTAATGTTTCAGAAACCAGTGAGTAGAAGACTGGCAGAGCTGCCCTTGGACTCTGAACCCACCTTCTATCCAGATAATGGTATAGTTAACATCCTAGAACCCATAACTGGGTAATTCTGTGAGAGCATTTGTTGTTCAATCCCTCCAAGCAGGAGGCAGACCAGCAAGGAGTTAGTTAAGGTTGGCGTGAACTGGGCATGGTTATTATGAAGTATCTTCTCTGAGAGGGATGATGGAAGAAGAACTCCCTGGGATTATTAAGACCAACTTTAAGGACTGTGGCTTCAGGCAAAGACTCAGAGCTCCCCACTGGCCCAGTTATTCAGTCTGTCCGGTCCTGTGAACAAACACACACTTGAGAAAAGGCTGTCACATCCTGGGGTCAGAGGAGATTGACTGAAGGAGGGGGATTGTCATTTTTAGCAACATGGTGGATGACTTTGCCATTGGGAAGTCAGGGAAATGTTCTGCAAAGTGTAACAACAAAAAAAGATTTTTAAAAACATATGCTGCCTTTGAATAAAAGAAAAGCATACCCTCAGTGACAGAAATGAAGAGAGAACCCACAGCGAAAGCAGTAAGTGTGAGCTAGAAGCCAGGACCCCCTGGAGATTCTAGAGAAGCCAAACTGAAGCCTGGGGCTGAGCTTATGGCACCTGTGTGGTTCTGTGGGAACCAGAGTTGTGGCCTTAGAGGAGAGAAGATGTTGTCTGTCTTGTGTTATGGAAACAAAGAAAAATCACCTGTCAGAAATGGCCTCTCTACTACCTGTGTGTTAAAGGGGTTGAGGGTCCAGATTTATACTCCCTGGAGCCCAAGCAGGGAAACTAACATCATATTTGGTCTAAAATTGAAATCTCTCCTAATGTGAAACTTTGAAGACATTGTCACAACCCAGGGCTCACTTTATAGACAGTGTCACAACACAGGAAAAACAAATCCTACTGTCATTATAAGAAGTGACACGTCAGCCTGGTGCCAGTAGCCTGTAATTCTTGCCACCTGTTAAGGTGGGGAGGATCATAATTTGAGAACACCCAGGGCAAATAGCTCAAAAGACCCCATCTCCAAAAATAACCAGAGCAAAGTGGACTGAAGGGATGGCTCAAGTGGTAGAGTGCCTGCTTTGCACCTGAGTTCAAGCTCCAGTCCCACAAAGGGCAAAATAAATAAATAAATAAAAAGAACTAGATCTATGAAGCTAATAGTAGAAGGTTAAGAATCTGCATAGAGGGACTTGGATGTCAGAGGTTAGGAAGGCATCAGGGCCAATTTATGTTGTTACTCCTGAGAGGAGCAGAACCATCACCAGGAGCTGATCCTAATGCAAGATAGGAGGAACTACCCAACCGCTTGCTGTAGAACAGGTGCCAAATGTAAGCTCCTTGCCATTAAGAACCTCAAATTACACAATGTGCTCTATGGTTGAAGAGGGGTAAGACCAGATCAGTGATTCTTAACTCTTGGGAATCATAGATGTCTTTGAAAGTCTGACCAAAGTTATGGATCTTCTTCCCTGGAAAAAATGTCCCAAAGCATAACATTTTGTACATCAGTTCAGGAGCTCCATGGATTGAAGGTAACAATCACCTGAAAACCCTCCTAGGGTCAACTTTTGATTTTACCATCATCAGCCATGAGGGAGAAGGCATTTCTGCCCTCCGTGTCTTCAGAATTCACAACTCAACTGAAACGCCTGGTTTACACCTAAACGTTCTGTGTCTTTTGCCACACATTATTTACTCTACACAAATTATTTGATTAGGTAAATGAAGTAATTGATCTGATTTTCTTTTCTTTTTTTTTTTACACAGGGTCCTGTTGTAGGCTGGTCTTGAGCTCATCATCCCCCACCTCAGCCTCCCAAGTGCTGGGATTTCAGGTATTCGCCCCCAAGTGCTTGATATGATCTTTAAGGTAAGGCATGTGCTACAAGGAGGAGAAAAGGGGAGGAAAACGGAAAGTAAATGAAGGGGTTTTTTTGTTTTGTTTTGTGTGTGTGTGTGTGTGTGTGTGTGTGTGTGTGTGGTGGTTGTTGTACTGGGGCTTAAACTCAGAACCTCACACTTAGCTAGGCAGGTTCTCTACCACTTGAGCCACTCCACTAGCCCTAAATGAAGGGTTTTTGAAAAAAGAGCAATAAGGATGACAAAAGTAGAGAAGGGTTATTCAGAGTCAGATAGGAGGGTAAATTTTGGAAGGCTTTAACTCTCAGCCCCTTGCCCAGGTTGAGAACCCCAGTGAACTTTTAAACTGAAAAATTTTGGAAGTGATAAGGGCATATACCCCAAGACTTCCAGGGAAAATCATTCATAATCATGGTGACCATGGCCAGATGATAATCAAATTTGACATTGAAGTTTCTTTCCCTTTGTGAACTCAGATCTCGATTTATTATAACCACTTGTTGCTCAATTCACACTTGGTAATAAACTACTAAATGAACTATGCTGAGGATTTTTTCCTTAGATTATCATTATTCAAAGAATAGTTGATTTTGAATGTAAACACTATTGAAAATAAATTCCAAAAAGAAAACTATCCTGTCCAAGAATAGAAGGATTTCTTGTTGGATAAACCAAGCTGAAGTTTCTCCACAATCAGCTGGTTCTTCCAGTTCAGACTAACAAGGATAAACTGCTCTGTCCGGCTCAGGAATTCTTCCTCTCCCTGCCCCACCTGTGCTCACCTGGCCACACAGGTGGCTGTGGAACTTCAGCGGGATTTCAGCAGGCTCTGCAGACTCTGCAGAGCCTCGGCCAGCCCCTGGCCAGTGAGGGCACTGCAGCCCCGGAGCTCCCAGCAGTGATCCTGGACTCTCTCCAGGCCCAGCCTGCATCTGATGTCAAACAGCGGAAGAGCATCAGGAGCATCCTGCTTGTTGGCCAGTACCAACAAAGGGACACTGGCCATGTTGGGGTCGTTCAGGACTTCCATGAGTTCAGTCACAGCCTCGGGCAGGCGAGCTTCATCTGTGCTGTCCAGCACATACACGAGGATGTCCGTGCCTTCCAGATAATCCTTCCAGGTGGCCCTGAGTTGGGTCTGTCCCCCGACATCCCAAAGAGTCAGGGACATTTGCCCAGGACCTTTAAGAGGCTCCACGTTGAAACCAACAGTGGGCAGGGTCTCCACCTGTTGGTGGCCCTTCAGTTTGTACAGGATCGTAGTCTTGCCTGCTGAATCAAGGCCCATCATCACCACCTGGGCCTTGTGACTCCTGGAATTCACAGAACCCATGGTGGCCACTGCTAAATCCTAGGGGAGAAAGGCCAGTGCCATTCCTATTCTTTTCTGAAGGAATGCAAACTCATGCAGGCCTGGGGAGGAGCTGCTACTTCAAAATAGTTCAAGTCTTCAAAGGGTCAGGTTTCAAACATAGGCTGGGCTTCTAATGGTCCAGGAAGTGAAGGAGTATAAGTCACCACCAGCTGACCGATCTCTGGGGCCCACCTCAGGGAAGAGTATGGGACCTCCTGTAAAACAAAGAAGGTGGGCTCATGTTCCTTAGTTAAGGCAAAGAGGTAAGATGAAGTTCTACTTAGACAGACCTAACCTAGTTCACAGATATTACAGAAAATTCTCTTCAGTTCTTGCTTGTCTATGGTCTCTGACCTTTGTTTGCATCCTAAAAACCTAAACCCAGAAGTGTCAGCTACATTGGTTGTACAAAGAGTGAAGAGGCCATGTGAGTTCCTGCTGGGAACGTGGGCCATTCCCACAGGACAAGGACACTCTCCTGTCCATAGTAGCCATTTATAAACACTGTTGACTGGGGACAAGTTTATGAACCAGAGCCAAGTGTTTTCTTCCACTGTCTTACTGAGGTCAATGTTCTCTAGAACATGCTGAGTGTTTTTAAGAACCCCAATTTTTAAGACATAAGACCTGTCCCCAACTTAGGAGAAACCCAAGTAGGACAGGAAAGGGGACAGCTCACTTCCAGAAGTATGTATCCTGAACTGTGCCCCTGGAGGAAAATAAAGCTATGTTCACTTTGCCAACGTAGAAAAGTAAAAATTTAAATTACCTCTGTGGGCCGGAGCGTTCTTCCTCTGGGGCTGTCCTCTGCCGTTGGCTTGGCTGCTTTCTGCTTGACAGGCACATCCCAAGAGTGAGAAATAAAGGAAGTTCTGTGGCTGTTGCAATTTCTCCTTTTTCTGCTTCCTTTTCCCAGGTGGTTGGGGGCGGGACATCTTCCTCCTGGGGACTTGCCTCAGAGATGTTCTCATCAGTTCTTGGTGTAGGCAGACCCTACACCAACTCCCATTTCTCAGAAACCCAGCCTTTACGCGGGAAGGGGAGTGTGCAAGCTCAGAGCTGTGCCCAGCCCTGGCTGCCTTCTGTTGCTCTTCCTCTTACAACCCTGTGATCTCCTCCCTTCAGAATTCTCAAAGACAGACCTTCTTCCAGCACATGCATTAAGTGTTTTTCTGGGTCCTGGAGGTTCTTCTATCTGCTTGAAATTGGGAAAGTTGTCAGAATCAAAATGGAGTCACTTTTGTCACTCCATTTTAACAATACTTAAAAAAAAAAAAGTAAATAAATGAAGGAGGGGATTTCATATGTCTATCCCTCATAAGAATTATTCACAAAATGCTAGGTGCCAGTGGCTCACACCTGTAATTTTTGCTACGTGGGAGACTGAGATGGGGAGGATGGCAGTTTAAGGCCAGCCCAGGGAAATTGTTCATGAGACCTCATCTCCAAAATAACCAGAGCAAAATGGACTGGAGGTGTGGCTCAAGCCGTAGAGTGTGAAACTCTTAAGTTCAAACCCCAGTCCCATCAAAAAAAAAAAACAAAAAAAAAAACCAACCAAAACCAGGGCTGGTAGAGTGGTCTAAATGGTAGAGTGCCTGCCTAGCAAGCCCAGCAGGCCTGAGGCCCTGAGTTCAAGCCCCAGTAACGCCAAAAAAACCGCCAAAAATTTCCCTTTGAACCAAGAATGGTGGTACATGCCTGTAATCCCAGCACTTAGGAGGTAGAGACAGGAGGATCACAAGTTCAAGGCTAGTCTGGTCTACATAACAAGACCCTGTCTCAAAAACAAAACAAAACAAAAAACCCTACAAATAAATAAATAATAAAGTACTTCTCCTTGCTTCCACCCACATATTCCCATTGCAATGCTCTGCTATTCCCAAATAAATATCATTAGACTTTGGAAACTCTCTCTCTGGCTATTATTTAGATTGACAGAATCGTATGTGCTTTAAAACACTGTGTCAGTATGATTAAACACTACAATATATATGCATATATATATGGTGAAGGTAGCTATAGAAATTAAAAAATTGTGTTAATATGATGGAACTATATAAGCAATTAAAGGTATTGCTTTTTTTTTCCTTGAGTGGCATTATTATGGTTTTTCCACTTAAAAAAAACCTCCAGAAAAACATTTATATATATGGTAAGTCAGAGCCATTGTGAAAAAAGGGACAATTTTCCTGGCCTCCAACCCTGAGAAGTCAAGGCACCACATGGGCAGCCTGTGTATGAGGCACCTGGAATGCCTTTATGGCACTGACCTTGGGATCATAGAGAGATTCCGCCCTCTAGAGGAATTCAGGGGAAGAACTGGGAGCACTGCTGGGGAACTCGGGTTCCCCCAGACATAAAGGTCTTTCTTGAGGGCCAAGGTAGTGTGTTACCTGGACAGGATGAGAGCCAAGGAAAGTGGTGGTTACTTGACTTTGACCCCAGTTGTACCCCAATGTCCTTGTGCCTGTTACTCTGTAGACTTAGGTGTCAATCCCTTCAGCCCTCAGCTCAACAAGGAAAGAAGCTTTTCATTAAGCACTCCTACGTGGGACCTATTTCCCTGGGATGAGGGAGGGGGAACAGACAGAGCAGAGAGCAGCTACAGGTGGGCTTTTTTTGTATGTGTGTGGTGGGACTACAGTTTGAACGCAGGGCCCATGCTTGCTAGGCAGGCGCTCTACCACTTGTATTGGATGTTTTTGAGATACAGTCTCTCAAACTATTTGCCTGGGCTGGCTTCAAACCTCAATGCTCCTGATCTCTGCCTCCTGAGTAGCTAGGATTATAGATGTGAGCCATCAGTGCCTGGCTAGGGCTTTGGTTTTAAACCATCAGGGGCCATGTTCCTGGATTTCTCTTACTTTCTCTCATTTCCTTTCTTTATAAAATGGGGTTGGTGCCTTACTTAATGGGGGATTAATAATTTAATGTAGTCATGTACTTAGTTCAAATCTTGACACTAGTCCCAGGCTCATACTATTCAAAAAAGAAAGGAGAGGGCTTGGCAGAGTGGCTCAAGTGGTAGAGAACCTGCCTAGCAAGCATAAGGCCCTGAGTTCAAACCCCAGTGCCACCAGTAAATAAATAAATGAAAAAGAAGGAAAAGAAAACCATCAAAAATCATGGTGTGATTAGAGAAAGTGCTCGTGATCTATGTGGAGCCCCAGCACCTGTGTGGACCTGTGACTGCAAAGGTCACAAGGAGACCTTTCAGGAGAGATTAGGGTCTCTGCACCTCCATTGACCCAGACAGAAGGATCCCCAAGAGGTCCGTGAGTAGATCCTCATGGTCCAGAGTATGAGTCTGGAAATACACTTCTCCCAGTTCTCACACTCATATAGTTAGAACTTAAGGATCAAGGCACACTCACCTCAATCCCTCAAACAATATAGAAGTGAAAATGTTAGTTATCACATTTCTTTTCCTTCTTTTTTTGGGGGGTTTGAGCTCAGGGCTTTGTTACAAAGCAGGCACTCTACCACTTGAGCCACACCTCCAGTCCATTTTGCTCTGGTTATTTTGGAGTTAGGGTCTCACCAACATTTTGCAGGCCTCAAATCACAATCCTCCCCATCTCAGTCTCCTAAGTAGCTAGGATTACAGGCGTGAGTCACCAGCTCAGTTATCACATTTCTAACGAGATCTCACTGGTCCACGATCTGGGACCAGTGTTCAGTGCAGTCCACCTGAAGAGGTGGCAGGGGAAGGAGGAACACAGGTACTAAGTGGACTATAGAAATGATGTCCAAACAGCTAGTTTGGAAAAGATGGAGTCAGTGGCTTTAAGAGACTATCAACCATGTTACTCTTCCTTTTCTCCTCTCTATAGATAGGTCCAAAGGAGTAGAGTGTAAGAACGGAGCTTTGTTCCCTGGTAAGTGCAGGAGAAATGCCGCCAAAGTCCTCTTTCTCTTGCCTGGCCTCCTCCCAGGGGCTCCACTTTTCTGTTTGTCTTGTGACCTCATCTTTCATAATACTGAAATTAGCAACTTTTCCCAAGGACTATGTCTTTTAAAATTCAGATTTTTTTTATTCATATTTTCAGGCTATCCAAAGGGCATAGTGTCAAGGAAGCCCTCACCCTGGACTCTCGATATGCAGGTCTTTTGCTGGGAAACAACCAACATCACTGGTTTCTTAGATATTTTTCCAGAGTGAGTGGATGTCCATATAAGCAAGTAGGAGGCACAGATTTTTTTTCATGGTTTTCCCTTTTTTGCCCAAATGGTCACAAACTTAGCACAATGTCTGAAGCCAATCTTCTTTCAGTCAGATGTTCTCAGTCATGGGCTGTATCAGAAGTCAGTGGAAGAGGGTGGAGAAGTCACAACTATCAGCCCTAGGATTTCCCTCAACTTTCCTGTCCCCTCCCAGCTTCCCAGTGAGTGAATCAGAGACTGGGTGTGTTACCAGAATCAGTGAGGCTTCAATGAGGAGGACTACAAGAGGAAGTCTCCACTTGATCCTTGGGTAATGAGTTCGTGGTGGTCTCACCCAAAAGGAATTTTAGGACATATCAAGGTAGAGACCAAGAAAGTTTACTAGTAAAACAAAGCAAAGGAAAGATGAAGTTAGTACACAACCCAGACATGGGTGCGGGCACATCTGATAACAGGTGCAGTGAGTGCTCTAATGTCAGGGATATTTATGGTAAGAAAGTAGGTTGAAGGTTTGGCTCAAATTCACCTTAGGAAAAGTGTGCTCTTTTTTCTGACACATTTAATCTGGTACATTTAATCATTCTTGCTGTTACACTGTTTCATCAATTGGACCCAAAGACTTTAAGGTGTCTCTGCCCATTAATCTGTGTCATTATGACATAGATGACAGAGTGCTCCTTTAAACAAAGGACTTGTCCTGTCAGACTCTCCCTTCAAGACAGGTGTCCAACTCTGCAATAAGTATTTTCTTTTTGTGCCCAAAGGAGTCATTTCCCAGGTGGTTCCCAGGATAAGTGTCTTTCTTTAGGATACCACTGCTCAGTTCCCAGAGCACACAAATTCTTTGGGCAAGTGGGTGAGGTGAGAGGGAGAGAAATACTCTTTTTCCCTTTTTTCTTTATACTAAATGTTGCAGATTATTGAGGGAGTGCAAAGTTTAAAGTAATGAAAATAGTGCCTATAATGTTTTTAAGCAAGCCATTCATTAATACAGCATTTATCTCTGAATTTCTGACTATAGTTTCTCATGCCTCATTTGCCCTGGTCTGTCCAGCCTCAGGTGGGGCATATCAAAGTCATCTTTTGAGGGTATTGTGGTGAGAATCAATGCTCCAATCATGCATCATCCAGTCATGCTTCAATCATGAAGCCCCATCTGTGACTCATTTCTTGGGCCATTGGAGTCCTAAGCCAATGGTCTGAATTTGGGGTGGCTGTGCGCAGTTTTTTATGATTATGGTGAAGCTCACCGCTGGTGTGGAGAGAGCACAAGGTCAGCTCATCTACTGAGTACGGTGGTTTTCCCAGGCAGCACTTTGAAAGTATAATTGTAGTGTTCTCCTGGAATTCAGTAGGCAGGGGGCCAAGAATGCTAGACATCCTGTAATGCCAAGAATAATCCTGTACAAGAAAGAATGCTTCTTGAATTTGAAGGCAACTTTTGAACGTCCAGACATGTATGTAGTTTGTTTGTTTGGTTGGTTGGTTTTTTGGCTCTACTGGGGTTTGAACTCAGGGCCTCACACTTACTATGAAGGCGCTCTACCATGTGAACCACTACATCAGTTCTTTTTTTGTGTTGGGTGTTTTGAGATAGGATCTCACTTTTTTCCCAGGCTAGCTTCTATGCTAGCAGGATTCCCTCCTCCTCCCCTCACAATACTGGGGTTTGAACTTAGGGCCTCACACTTGCTAGGCAGGTGCTCTACCACTTGAGCCACTCCGCCAGTGCTTTTTTTTTTTGTGGTGAGTTT